ATGTAAATGCCAATACATTCGGCATCCACAGGAAGAGTCTTTATAGAAGCCTCTTTACCAGTATCAGACTAAAACACACCAGGAAAGATCTGACCAATGGTGTAAAAATGAATAATTCAAACTATAAAGTTAATGCAAAGTCATGTCATTTTCAGTAGCCCCCAAAAATTTCCCCCAGCAGGGGAATGGTACTAAAAGAAGTTCAATGATGCCCCTGACAGCAAGGCAGAGAATTTACTGAGCTGTTAATCTGTGAAACAGACTTGAAGGCAACTTGCAGCAGGAAGATGATGTTAAAAAGGTGATGGATGGGAGATGAAGATGATAAAAGACCAAGTACTTAGGAAAGAAGTGAGAATTCTCTAGATTCTGATGGAATTAAGGATGGCATGGAAGATAACAACAAAGAACTAAATCAACTCCGGAATTTGTATCATGAAAGAAAGCTTTAAAATTACAATAAGCCTAAAAGTAAGAAATATTTCTTGTTGCTAACAATGGTGTCTGCCACTTTACAGCTAAACCCAAAACAATTCGAGCTGGATGATTTACAGCTTTTGGATGTCATTCTGTCTGTGCGCAAGTCACGAGCCAGAGCAGGAACATTCCCAGAGGACCTGGAAGTCCTTCTTCCCTTTTCAAATGCCTCAAGTCCAGGTTGATTCTCTAAGCCTGTCCCACCCCAAGGGACATGCTGGGTTAGTTGTGGCTTTGTGCAGCAGGTGGGTTAGTCCAGCACCATGGAGTGGTCCTCCCTGCCTCACCACGGGCCTGGCCTCTCCGGAGGGAAAGGAAAGAACTTCCCCTGCCTCACCACGGGCCTGGCCTCTCCAGAGGGAAAGGAAAGAACTTTTGAGAAAAGCAAGGAGAGTGATGAAAACCAACACAAGGAGTCCACAAGAAGTGTCCTGAGACAGAGGGGATGGAGATGCCTGGAAGAGTCTGCGCATGCAAACTGGAAATGTCAGGGTGACCTGTGGCACATGCATTACAGAGCTATCAGTAACAGCAACAGCAGCAAACCCCGCCATGGCACACAGCCTTTTCCATGCAGGATGGGTTAGTACATTCCCAGGTTACCAGACATGCTACCTGCCCATGCAACAGCTTTACAGAGAGAAAGCAAGGGTATGGAGCAGAGCTCTGCCCAGGAAGGATCCCTGGAGCAGAGCTCTGCCCAGGAAGGATCCCAGCCTCACACATGACACATGGCACACAGGTCAGCACACCCAGGCCTGCCCATGGGACCTCAGCACCTCAGGCACAGGAGCTCTCCTACTTACAGGCACTTATACTTGAACCATTTCTAGCTCAACTTCATCCAACAGCTTCCCTTCTCCAAACACATCCATTTCCACTCAGATGATCTTTGGAAAGGGAAGGTGCTTTGTAACTCTTGTCCAAGATATAATGCCAACTGAAATTCCATTCTCCAGAACTGGGCCAACTGCAGTAGTTGGATTACTACCCAAAGAGTTGTGAAATCTACAGAAATGTGCAGAGACAGCCCCAGAAGCCACACGGCAGCACATGCAGATACTGAGAGGTATTTGCTGCCGTTGTTTACATGCTGGAGGCCAACATGCAGCAGCACTGCAGAGAAAAAAACATTTCCCACTTCAGGATTCTTTGGTACGAGCTGATTCCCTAACTGTGCTTTAGCAGGACATGCAGAGACAGCCTCACCAGCAGCCCAGTGCCCGAGGACCCTACCAAGCCCAGTGCTGGCTCCTCAGAGCTCCCTGTGGAGGGCAGACAGGGAGGTGCTTACGTTGATGTCGCAGCGCTCTCCGGTGTAGCTGGCACTGCACACACACTCGTATCTGTTCTCCGAGTCCTGGCACGTTCCTCCGTTCTGGCACGGGTTCGGATCACACTCATTTATGTTAATTTGACAGCTAGAAAGGAAAATGTATTAGAATTGTCATATATGTTCTTGTGCCATAGAGCACAAGATCATAGAGTCTAAAAAAGCCTCATTTATCTGAAAAGGGCCTGGAATATCTTTTTCACATGATTTCTCCGAGGTCCAACAACAGGAAATTTCCCCCCAATCCACACCAACCCTTCTGCTATGCTTTCTGCAGGACTGAACCAGCACAGGTCTCCAGCACACTTAGTGAACTATCACAAGGCAGAAGAACTACTTGGAAGCAGTTCACACTGCAAAAACACTGTGTTGTCAGCTGGATGACCTCAAGCTTGCCCTGCTCAAAGTAACAGCTAGTGTACAGCTGCATGGTTAACAGACAGATACATGAGGATGAAGCGTGTGATCCTGCTCAGTCCTTCCAAAACCAGCACTTACTTCCTTCCCATGAAGCCTGGCCTGCAGGAGCAGTTGGCTCCCCAGCTCTCAGTGACGCACCTGCCACCGTTCAGACAGGTGAAGTTCTTGCCACACTGCTGAGGTGGGAACGGCCACCTGGGAAAAGCAAGGGACAGCCTTTAGAGCAGTCAGGTTTTGGGGAAGGGCTCAGGGGGGATGGGGCTGGTGAGGGTCATGAGCACAGTCGTTAGTATTGCTAGGAAGGAGTTTGACACAGGTGAAGTAGGGAACAGGCTCACAAATCATCTGTAATACCAGAGTATTACTTGGAGCATGCCCAGAGAACATGCAGGAGCTGTACCAGTACTACCACTGCATCCCACCGGCCGAGGCACTTACTCGCAGCGAGGCCCTGAGTACTGAGGAGGACACTTGCAGGAGTAGCCATAGACTCCATCGACGCAGGTGGCTCCATTCAGGCACTGATGCCGCACACAATCGTCCACGTTGATGTCACACCTCTTCCCGATGAAGCCCCGGAAGCATTCACACTGGAAGTCTGCTACTGCATCCACACAGTCCCCATGCACACAGGGGCTGGAGTGGCAGTCGTCGATGTTGGCCTCGCAGCGCTGCCCGCCCCAGCCCGCGCTGCAGGCACACCTGAAGGCGTTGAACAGGTCCTCGCAGGTGCCGGCGTTGAGGCAGGGGCTGGGAGCGCAGACCTCGGCCCCGGAGCAGCCCAGCTGGATGCTCCTGCTCACAGCCTGCACGAACTGCTCTGGCTGGGGGTACCCCGGGTGGGCAGTGAAGGGAAGGTAGATGCCCCCGATCTGCACTTGGCCCAAGCAGCCAGTGAAATTTTCAGCTAGAATGATCAGTGCATTGTTCTTCAGGAAGTCCAAGTTCCCAGCACTGCCCTGCAGAGTCACATTCACAGACCCGTCCAAACGAACCAGCCACCGGGAGGACGGCGCGGTGGCTCCTCCATGGACACAGAGAGGCTGTGCCAGGCCCCGTCCGCGACGGCCTGCGGGCTCAGGAACCTGACGCCCTCGATGCTGTTCCCACTCCTGATGTCAACGAGCAGGGAGGAGTTTTTAATGACTATGAGCAGGGAATCCACCTCTTCCACAGCCCGAAGCAAAACAGCATCTTCATCCCTGGTTCTGAAATCCATATGGAGGCTGCTCAGGGTTCTGGTCACTGAGGTGTTGGTGGTAAATTCAATGGCAGCATAACTATTAAATGTTGCATTAGCCAGACCTATAAATAAAGGGGTGAAGGATTTGAAAGACAGTTGGTGTCATGTTTGAGACAGACCAAAGGCACACGCGTGGCAGGTTCTCTCCCTAAGAACCACATAAGCTTAGTGTGAGCAGGATTACGGCCGAGCTGCTGCCAGCCTTAAAGCTCTTCCTGTTTACAATTGCACCTCTGATGATAAGATCCTGCTCTTGTGTAGCAATTTTAACTTGTCGGCCTCACTGCACAAATATCCAACTACTCCCCTTTGACTGGCAGAAAAGCAGAGCCTAAGTCAGAACAGTGATAGAGACAGAGCTGCTGAGGCAGAGAAGAGAACATCCCAACACCCAGAGTTCCAGGACACCCTCTAGCCACCAGACAACACTCCTCCACATCAGGGCATCATTAGATAACTAGTTTTCTTCATTCTCCGTGGTTCTATCTCAGGAGAAAACCCAAACACGTTTGCAATATTAATTAGGTCCTACTTGGGGAAGTAACCTGGGAGTCTGTAAATGGCTGAACGTCATAGAGAGCAGGACGGCCCCAGTGCCATCACTGATGATCACACTGGGCAGTCACTCCTCAGCAGGGGATAGAGGCTCCTCCCTGATCAAGTCACAGGAACAGATCCAGTGATGCTCTGTCACACCTGGGGCAAACCCACAGAGCTTGTGCTGCCTGCAAGAGTGTGTACCCAGATACCACTCCATTTCCTTTCTGCAGCTTGTGTTTACGCTTATTTCAACAGCACAAACTAGGAGTATTAACTACAGACACAGGGAACATCAGGGATTTTGCCAACACACAAGTGGGAGAACAGAACTTACACACATATCCTGCTACAACGTCTATGCAGGTGGTGGCCTCGGGACAAGGGTCACTTTCACACCAGACTCTCTCTTCACAAAACTTCCCAGTGAAATTTGCTGGACAACTGCAATGGAAATCATTCCAAGTGACAATGCATCTGCCACCATTCTGACATGGCTCAGACTGAAAAACAAAACAGGGCAATTTAGGGGCAGTGTAATTTATCTTTAGGCCTAAGAGAATTTGGTCGAACTGTGACAACAAAGACGAGTTTGAGCAGTGTTTGAATCAACAGAGAAGGGAATGAAACAGTGACTCCACAGCACTAAAGGAAGCACAAGGGTCTCTGTACAAGAAATTCCTGAGCCTCCACCTTTTCCTCTGCACATTGGTGGCCAACAGGAATTCCACCAATATGGCAAAGCACAAAGCAGAGGTGAGGAACACGTGAAACAAGCTGTGATGCTCCCAAAAACCTCACAAAGTCCTGTCACTAGAAGGACACCTCTAATACCAGTGGTGTGACAATACTTCATAGCACCACGAACAAGAAGGGCAAAATGAGGTAATATGGCCTCCCCATCATGAGGTGTGGCATAAAGGAGAGCCAACTTCTGATCTACGGGCACATGGAGACAGCTCCTTCAGCTGCTCTTGCTCAAGTGTCACATTCCTGTGGGAAGAGATTGTTGTGCAACTGAAACAGGATGAAGGGAGGAGCTGGCAAGGTTACTGGTTAGAGAGGGGAGTCAGGAACACATGTGTGGACTCAGCAAAATGGAGATGAGCAGCACAAAAGCCACTGCCCAAGTTCTAAAAACCACAAAAGTCACAGGGGAGCCCGGGAAAACTCAGTGTTTCAATTGTCTGTAGCATACTGAGTGATGTGGGAGCACATGGGACCATGTGTTCTTCAATACTTAAAACCCCAACTTCTCATATTTCTGATATCAGCAACAGCCAAACTTTTCTGCAATCACAGAACTATAATAAACAACTGCACACTCAAACATGAGACATGGCATACCTTGCAGGTGTCATCAGAGATGCAGCCACTCACAAGATTTCCATTTTGAATCCCATTGAGCTCCTCTGGCAGACTGTAGTTCTCAGTCTGAAAAAACTGTATCTGGTGGCTGTTGAGCTGGATGTCCTGCAAACAGCCCTTAAAATAGCCTCCCCACATGTCAGTGCTGTCTGGGTTTGGGTGTCCCCCAATGTACACTTCAGAACCAGCTAACAGAGGCTGTGCTATGACCTGTCCCAGCTCCACATATGTGTCGGACTGGTGAGCACCAACAGTGCCTCCCTGGAATGACAGAGCTACCAAATGTCTTCTGCCATCAACCACATTCTCTGGGAACATCACAGTGTCTGTAGGTGACATTTCTATCCTCAGCTTGCCATTCCTCAGATACAGGGTGAGGCAGGGGCCTGTTTCATTGCTGATCTGCAGTAGCAAACCGTTGGGCTTCCGACTCCGGACGAAAAAGGAGATGTTGAAGTCTGCACCCAGGCTGTCCAAAAGGGTGAACGAGGCAAAGCTGGTGGAATTCTCTAGGCCAAATGTTGCTGCTGGACGCTCTGGAAGAGAACAGAAATGCCCATCAGCTCGAGCTAGCATCAATGCCCCTTCTAGTGCATCTGGAGCTGGCAGGTGTCAATCACATGGCACTTACCGTAGGAGCAAGCTGGGCCTCCGTAAGGCCGGGAGCAGTCACACCTGAAGGTGGTCCAAAGGTCCACACAGAGCCCCCCATGGAAGCAGGGCTGGGAGAGGCACCACTCTGTCCGCTCACAGCCTGGTATCACCAGGGAGGACTCATTCTCCGGCAGATCCTCCGGGAGCACAACTTCAGCATCCACCTGGAAGTCTTCCAGGCAGCCGACAAAGCCTTGCTGGCTCCATGTGTTGTTCACCATTGGATCCTCAGCACCTCCAACATACAGGTTCAAGAAGGCATGTGGGATCAAAGCAGTGCCAGGTGGGACAGGAGAGCTCTGCAGGCAGACGCCTGCGTCACAAGAGTCATGCCAGAGCTTCAGCTGCACAGTGCTGTGCACAACAATTTCCACCTTATGCCACTGGCCATCATCCACTCTCAGCCCCTCCAGGAGCAGTGGGTACCCAACATCCTCCCTCTTCAGCTCTGCATGCAGAATGCCATCAAAGAGCTCCAGGAACAAGTACTCAGCTTCATGGCCTCGGTAAAAAAGGACCACGCTGGGCAAGCTGGTTCGGAAGCGGAGGGACACGCTGGCAGGCTGCTCTCCTCCTGTGTCCCTCCCGCTCTGATTGCTCCTGGGCAGCTCAAGGAGGAGATACCCTCTGGAAGCAAAGGAAAACGTTGTTGGTGTCGAGCATGTGGCATCATAGAAACCAGGCTGGCACTGGCACAGGTGGCCGTGGCTCTCAGCTTGGTAGGTTGGGATGCACAAGGCCTCGTTTTGGCAGTCGTGTGTCTGGCACCCAGTGAGCTTGACAGAGCAGTTCTTCCCTCCCCATACAATGCCATCCTGGCTAGGGGCACAGTGGCAGGTATAGTCAGCAATGCCATCCTCACAGACAGCTCCATTCTTGCAGGGACCCTCCTCACACTCATTGATGTTAACAGCACATTCCACACCTGCGAAAGAGATTTAGAGATGGGATCTCACTGCAGGGACTGCTACTCCCTTCCCCAGGGCTGCCTGCCAGGCACAGCCCTCCCTCCCCAGCACTGCTGCTCTGTGAGCCATTCTCCTCAGGAAAGAGCTGCCAGCAGAGCCCCACGCTCACGGCAAAGGCTCCTGGCATTGATGTAAGAGCAGGAACCCCAAACTTCTGTTCTGCCCTCCCAGGTGCTATTTATAGAGCTTCAGCCTGTCAGCCCACACCATCCCACAGACTGCTGTCCTCTCCCAAACTCACACACCACAGGTAGTCAATATTCAGAGCACTAAAGGAAGAGAACAGCACAGACAACTCCAATTAAGCATGTTCCAGGCACCAGTGCTGCAGACAGAGGTAAAATGGGAAGTTACCGGAAAGCCTCAGTTAAGAAAATTCAAATTCAGAGACACCCCACCAGTTGTAAAACTCACAAACCTCAATGCATTACCAAACAACAAACCAAACATGCTCCACAGGCACTCTGCCATGCTTGCACTAAGCTGATTTCACTTTGCCCAGCCCTGCAGAAGGAAACAGGGTGAAGTCCTGCACTGCAGTTCTGTCTCCTCCAGGCACACGGATCCCAACTGGGCTCAAGTAAATTACAGGCCATTACACCAAATCTGGCTAATGAAAATCTGCTGTCATTTTCCTGAGCATCTCCAGACTGACAGAGGAGCCCTTCTGAACCAGTTCGCTTTATCTAGCCCATAACGTTGGTCTTCACTAATCTTCAGAGACAGTCCCACAGATAAACCAAGCATGGATTATCCCAATCTAATAGCATTACACCTGAATCCAGCCAGCAAGCACAACCAGGGCAGCAGGAAGAAGGAATTCACACACAAAGGAGGAGAACCAAAACACAAAGGACATTTGTAAAGAAAAGCCACTAGACAGAATGTGCATGTCAGAGATTAGAGAGTTGCCTGGGGACACAGATGAGGGGAGATGGGGCATTAGGGGCACTGGAGCTGGACTTGATATGTGATTAAAAATAAACACTTAGCAAAGATACAGACTTCTTGTATATTTGCACTGATGATCTGTCCCCTCACAAGCAGAGCTGCACACAGTTAGTCCCTGCTGTTGGGGGGTACTACCCAACTACCCAACCCTACCCAAGTTGTCTTCTCTGTCAGCCCCAGTGTCAGTGCTGGTACCACTGTGAGCTCTGCAGACAGCTTCAAATTGTCCACTGTCCATGTTAGAGCTGCAGGCAACATTGCCTTGGGTTCCTCTGGGACATTGCTCTCTCTACTGATGTGAACTAGAAGAGAACCTCTCTGTAGTGCCTGTATAAAAGCACCAAATTTGGACAATACCACCTGCCTGGACAAAGAGCTCAGCTCAGATTCAGAGTTGCTAACACTACCTCAGCACAGCCTTTTCCTCCAGCTATTACTGCTCAGCTTGCACTGCACAGAGAACCTGGGGGTGACCTGACCTGTAAAGGAACCAGCAAGGACTGGCTTCAATCCTTTCTATTCAGATTGCAGCACAAAGCTGTGAAGGAAATGTGTTGGAATAAATGGAGTATAACAGACAGCTCTGGGCCTGGAGAATCCCAGACTGGGAGAAGATGGGAAGACTTCAATTGCAACTGAGAAAAGTCAGTACAGCAGTAGAACTATGTGGAGTGGGTTTGGAGGGCTCTCCAAACTGTAAGAGGGTGTGCAGTCAGATTTAAGGGGAGAGACTCTTGTATGGGGAAAGACGAGTTTGGGATAGTCCCAAACCCTTGAGATGCTGCTGTTTCAGGTCAGAGCTGCTGATATTTACCAGGGCAAGGATGGGAAGATAACACTGGTTTGGATAACAAGAGGAGAGATGCCGTGAATTTTTGCATTTCTGAGAAGGCTGGGAGGCAGGGGAGAGGCCCTTTTTCCCATACCACATTCCCAGCCTGACCAGGTCTCCTCTGATCAGTGAGCTCTCTCCATTGTGCAGCAGCAGAACACCTGCCTGGGCTGTTACCCAGCCCCCAGCAGACACCTGTGGGGTGAGTGCTTCACACCAGGTGGCAAATTAGTCCCTAGGGGTGAGTGCACAACCCCAGGCTGGTGTCTAATTAAACACAAAGCTTTCCCATGGGATGCAGCTGGTTTGATTTCTTAGATTATTTGTTTGAAATGGGTGAAAAGAAGCAGCTGACACATCAGGTCTTTACACACTGCTGTCCAACCTCCCAGCATACCAACAGGCCCAGGAGATGCTCTGCAGCAGGGGAGGGCAGCTCTTCCAGAACCAAACCTACCAGCATCATCTTCATCCCTGTCCCTTTTCTACCAGCACACAGCCTTCCTGGGGCTAGAGCACGAGGATGGGGTTTTTTTCCTGCCCTCCTAAGAGCCAGGGCAGTGCCAGAGCTGACTTCAGAGCAGTTTTTAAAACAGTCTGATAACAGAGGAGACTGTGCAAAATCTGCACAATCTAAAATCTGGCTAACAAATATTTTCCTAGAAGCCAATGTCACCCCTTGCTGAACAGTTACCCAGAGATACATCACTACATGTTCCAAAGGTACAAATCATTTCCTGGATAACCATTATTCCAATCTTCTCCAAGACTGGACAGTTGTCTTTGCAGACCCACTGGGAAGTAGATATTAAGTTGTTCAAACCTGATTTATTTCTCTAAGAGCAGCACAGGCATCCCTTTCCAGGTGTATTTACAAAAATAAAAGGTGGGGCACTAACCTTTGACAAAAACAAGTTACAAGAACAAGTTACTCTTAGGTAGTAATCTCCTTTGTTCCCTCTAAATTCCTTAGCTCAAATGTTTACTACGATTTGAACCATCACTAGTAAAAGCAATGTTGCTGATCTGATTCATTACATCCTTAGGAGACTTTGAAACATTTAATGAGTTCCTTATCTAGTTAAAGACTAACAATAGCAAACCAGTGGAACTTGTTATCTGAAAATCAGACAAGTGGCATTTAAAGGCTGCTATCTGGAGACCAGGACTTCCAAACATTCTGGGTAATTCAGCAGTGTTTGAGGGAAGAGTCCCCAGCCAACAACCCACCGGGGCTGGGTGAGAAACACTCAGCAGTCCCTGAAGCCTTCACAGCCTGCAGTACATTCAGACACAAATCCTTCACACATTCATAGTGTCACCACCGCGGGGAGAACAGTCCTGTTTTGTAGATGCAAGTGTGATTAAATCCATACAGCTCACCACTCCCTGAATGCAGGGAGTGATTCACTGCTATCAATAAGCAAAGATTCACTGCATACAGTAAGAATCATATAATGCAACAGATACATAAGACGTTCAAAGAACAAGTACAGACGAAGGGAAATATTCCAATCTAGCTGTCAGATACCAAAAAACCCTTGAAGGACAAGGTCTACTCCTTGAAACACAGGAGTTCAGGGGGGCTGCCCTGCTTGCCCTCTCCGTAAGGCAGCTGAATTCCTAACAACCTTTCCCTGCTGCATCCTAATTAGGGATTGTATTATTATCAAAAGGAAAAAGGGAGGGGGAGGGGGGGGAGAGAAGAGAATTAGCTGCAACAAACGGACCCCGACACAATTATATTTGCACAATTACTGCCATTTCCATGGCAACCCCCTGCTCTGCCTGCTCTCCCACCGTGCTGCGGGGACAGCGGGAGGAGGTGGGATGTGCACTGACCGGCCACGGGATTGTCCTCCGAGTTACTACTGCTCCATCAGGGAGTTTTAAATCACTAAAGGGAAAAGGAAAGCTGTAAAAACACCTGTAAAAATCACAACTAATACTGCTCAGAACCACCCGGGAGGCACCTGCATGTTCCCAGTGCTCACCTGAGCACTAACACAGGAGCCTCCAACGCCTCAGGTCTGAACCAGCACAATTGCTGCACAGTGACTGCAGAGCTGTCAGCTCTGTGCAACAAGGAAATTCCTTGCCCTAAAGTTTCCAAAACAAGACTTTAGGTCTCTTCAACATAAAAACATTCTTCCTCTCTAATCAGTCCCTGTTCCTCCTCATGCCTCCAGCTCCCCCTGATCGCACACCAGCTCCCTGCCCTGGGCAGCCACACAAACAGGACACACTGCAATTACTGGATAGATCTCGTTACCTGCTAGCAGAAAAATTCCCTTCAGGATCACGCCAATCAGCACAGATTTCATGGCCGACTCCTTGTGGACATTGGTGACAGTAAAGGGAAAAAAAAGGGGTCGAAGGGGGGGAGGGCTGACAAAAGAGGCCCCTGGAGTGGCCGGGCAGAGTGTGTGCGGCGCTCGCCGGTGCCAGGCAGACCGGAGGGGATTGGGGATGAAGCAGCCGAGGGAGCCGAGCCCTGTGCTGCGCCAGGTCTAATCCAGGCTGGCTCTGACCCTCCCAGCTGGCCCCGGCAGTGCTGACACAGGAATGTGTGCTCACAGCGTGTTCTGCTCCGGGCGCCACAGCAGTGCCACAGCATCAGCTCCAGCAGGCACAGCCAAGACCTTGCTGCCTCCCAGGTCAATTTGCCAAATTCCATGAGGAAGGCCAAAATACGGATTTTTATCTTTATAGACTAAGCCAAAAGGTTGCGTTTCTGCCATGGTGCAATACCTAAACCACGCAAACAAGGAGAGTTCCAAACGCAGAGTGAACCCTGTGCCCTATTCCATGGATTTGTGAGCACAGGCACTTGCACTTGGCCATAATCACAAAGAAAAGTCTCAGGTTTTAACGACCATGATTAGTGTCTTTGAAGTCAAACTGGATGGAAGGAAATTCCCTGCGTTATGCTAACTGTACTGGTTCAGACATGGCACCACCGAATCAAAACTCTCTCATTAGCAACCCTATCAATTAGCTGTTGCAGCCTCCTTTTTTCCCTCTGGAGTTCTGGGGTGGGTTTTTTTTGAAAAAAATAGTTACTTTCATATTATAAAACTCCTGGAGGCAGAATTGTACTCTCATGTTGTAAGGACCCAGAGAAGTTTCTTATTTCTGCAAGGAAATGTTATCTGGGAGCTTTTTCCCAAACTTGGAGTCTCTGCTAGTATCAATGTCAGGTCCAAGCAAACAAAAACTCCCACATGTGAGTGTCTGGAATCTGCATTAGCAGTATCACTAAGATATTAAAAGAAAGCATTCCAACAACTCGTGCAGCTATTGCACTTTCCTCATTTCACTAATCCAAACATGCCAGTCAATTTTACAGATATTGTAAGTGCAAGGGAGATGGCGAGTGTTTGCTTGGAGTCAAAACTTCTCAGATAGTCACATCTGGGTCCTGTGCATGCACAGACCTATCCCAGTGTCCCTCTGGAACACTATTAGCTACTATGACTCTTCTGTTATTGTTCAGGAGAAAACAAATGGGAGCCTGTGCCCATCCAGCCACTAATGCAACAATAAGCTGTGAAGACTGGAGAACAATCCCTTAAAAATCCCTTTAAAAAGATCCAGATTTTGATTGATACACACACACACACACATATATATTTACACACACACACAGGGTCTACCTGCACATGACTGGAAATACACCATCCCCAAATCCACCCAGCAGGAGTTCTGCTCTCACCTGACACCAGGCACAAGCAGGCTCAGGCTCTAGACTGCAGCACACACCCGCAGCATTCTGGTCAGATGACAGGGAAGTCAAAAGGTCTGATTGACATGGAGCTGAGATCCAGAAGGGAGAAGCAATGTGGAACAGAAGGGAAGTGGGGGGAGTCTCACCAAGTGCTGCCCAGCTCCCTTCAGCTATATTTACCGACAGGGATTTGGTTGAAGGGGGAACAGGCCTCTAATCTCTTTACTATCTTAACCTTTTAGCTGCCCTTGCTGCAGAGGCTACAGCTCTGAACCAAATCTGACTTCAAGAAATACCTGCACGAAAAATTATATCTATCCAAAGATGGTTAGAAGGGAGAAGTGTCTCCCATTTATTTCCTGACCCATGACCCAGGAATTGAAGCCCATTTGATCTGGGCTGGCACTCTCAGAGACTCACCATTTATAGCTGCTGCACAGGTTTCCTACTTCTTTAAGGACAACTGACAAAGACATTATGGCTGAACAAAGTCAGATGGTCAATAAGCACTCCAATTATACTGGAACACATTCACACATCACCTTCTGATTTCTCATGAAAGTAGCAGTGTTCCTCACCCATGTGCAAAAGTCTCAGGATTTTGCCAGGATCACAAGGTGCCGGTGCCAAGGGCTGGATGTCTGCGGTGGAAACACCGAGCTCGTCCCCCTCACAGGGGCTGGG